TCCGCAGCTCTCTTCCACCGCGGTTCTACCGCGGTCGCGGTGGAACCGCGGTCAACACAGTTCTCTGAATCTTCAGGCCTGTTTTGCATGGTTTACTTGGGAAATTTCACAGTTAGCCTCTTTTTTCTTCATTTTTGACTCCAAAAGTGCTCCTAGCCTTCCCTGATCATATATCACCTGCAAATCATGAAAAGCACTAATAAGAGCATTTTGTTATCACTTTTATCATCAAAACTATACAAGAAGGTGGTTATTTAAGGCGTGATTATAATTAAATTCACCTATTATCAACACCCCACACTTAAACCTTTGCTTGTTCTCGAGCAAGTTAAACCACACTTCTAGGCCTAACCGTTTGATACATTACCCCAATTTATGTCACACTTGCCATTACGAAGGCCAACCTAGCAATGTAACAATCATACCTCAGATGCAGACTCNTGGGAAAATAAACTAAGATAGAATTCATCATAAAAATCAAAAGTAAAGAAGAAAGATGTTTTGGAGTATTCTCTCACAATGGTTTTCCTTGCTAAGAAACCCTAAAAATCAATAATGATTCTCTTGGGAGAAGTCTAATGTTTTAAATAGGGTTTAGGTCTAAAAATCCCGTATTTGACAGTTTGACCCCTGAACTTTTCTGCGCCTGCCGCGGTTCTGCCGCGGTCGCGGTAGAACCGCGGCCAAATGCCTTCTCTGAATCTCATTTTATCTGCAGCTCTCTTCCACCGCGGTTCTACCGGGTCGCGGTGGAACCGCGGTCAACACAGTTCTCTGAATCTTCAGGCCTGTTTTGCGTGGTTTACTTGGGGAATTTCACAGTTGGCCTCTTTTTCTTCATTTTTTGGACTCCAAAATTACTCCCTAGCCTTCCCCGGTCATATATCACCTGCAAATCATGAAAAGCACTAATAAGAGCATTTTGTTATCACTTTTATCATCAAAACTATACAAGAAGGTGGTTATTTAAGGCGTGATTATAATTAAATTCACCTATTATCAACTGCTTACATTAATTTTAGAGAAATAACCACCTAGGAATAATTTTGAGATGATTTCAAGTCACGTTTTAAGTCGTATTCGACATAAATCATAATTAGAGACCTAATTAATGTCTTTAAGTCGTTAGTAAATTGAACTTTGATCAATTTGAGTTCCCTTACCTTTTAACTTATTTCCAGATTAGGAAACGACGATAGTGAGTGGTACTTCCAAGAATGGGAAAATGACGTTGTTGTAAGCCGCTCTCAAAATAATAGTTTAAAATTGTATAGTTTTTGTATATTATATACATTATATATGTAATACACAAAAATTATACAAATTTTCGATTACCGAATGTAAATACTTTCTGGCCCGGACTAAAAATGATAATACCCCTCCAAGAATGAACATGGTTCCGGTAGTTTACCTAATTATTTTTTTCTTTATTTATCTAGGGTTCGTCTCAAACTACAAATTAACAACTGAACTAAAAAATTACTCAGCAATTTCTTTCTACCAAAATTTCTTCCTCAGAGATATAGCTTCGGAACAAAAACAAAATAAGAATAAAAATAAGGTGTCAATTTTATTTCCCAAATATAACATGACAAAGCTCAATGATTATATAGTTTTCAATTGTTTGTAAGTTGCATTGGGTATGAAAAGTCAGAGGTAAAAGAAGACTTTCAGTTCGGTGCATTTGGTAATATGAATGCATCATTCTGCTACTGATAATGAATAGGAATTATTAAATTCTTTCTCATGCACAAAATTAAGCACTTATCGACGAAAGATAATCATTGTATTATTACACCAAGAAATTTCCAGTTTATTGAGTAGAAATTTGGTCACTTTCGCATCATAGATTAATTTTCTTCAAGTTTGATATGTGTTTCGAAGCAGTCACTAATGCTTGCATTAAGGTATGATGTCTACATCACACTCTTAGAGAGTGCGGCCCTTTATCAAGTTCTGCGTGAATGCAAAATATTTGAGAATCAGGATGAGTTTTTATGTGTTTCGAATATAGGAGAGTATATAACCAAGTTGGAAATAACATTCCCTTACAACTTATAAGTTAGCATTTTGGTTTGTTGGAAGTGGTTTCTCAAAAAATATTTTTCATGAGAAAGTTATTTTCTGGTGTTTAATTACTAGAATATTTTTCATCAACAGCGAAAAAATGAATTCCTTCAACTATGGACTGAAATTATTTTTCTTAATTCTTACAACTTTCTTTACTATTAACTTCATACTACTTGCTTCGACTAATGCCTAGACATTTTTATTAGCATTTAGTACTAAAAACTCGATTAAAATACTCTGTAATTTCTTAATTATTTACCATTAATTTTTAATATGTTATAAATATATATTATATTATGGATGTTCATTTAGTACTCTGTTGTAAATAAGCTTTCTGAAGAAGCTTATTCATATGAGAATCCGCCGTAAATTTGTTTATCTATTTGGTACTCTATTGGAAATAAGCCTCCTGAAGAAGCTTATCATTTCGGTACTCCGTTATGGATAAATATTACCTCTGGTAGAAGATTATCTATATCTGGTACAGTAGCAACTTACAAGCAGCTTACACAGCAGCTTGTAGTAGCAGCTTGCAAGCAACTTACAAGCAACTTACACAGCAACTTGCAGTAGTAGCTTACAAGCAGCTTAGACAACAGCTTGCAGTAGCAGCTTACACAGCATCTTCTTTTCTTCTATAAATAGAGGAGATTTCAGTTCATTATGTACATCAGTTTGAAATTAAATAATATATCAATCTCTCTCTATACTTGTCTTCGATTTATTTACTTTACAATCTTTATTTTATAATATAATATATATTTTTCAAAAATTATTTCTCATTCACTAACTAAATACTAGAAAATATTTTTGATCGAACATGACTTTTGTCATCCACATACACTGAAGTAGTTTTCCTCAGTTGTGACTTGGGATAGTTCACTAGTCACACAATTAAACCAGTGGTCTTTTTCCCTCAGTTACCTAACTTCATTTTACTTTATGGGCATTCCTTCCTCTCTTTCTAGCGTGACAAGAGTTCCACTGCGAAAAAAAAAAAAGGCTAATTAAAAATTGATAAAAGAGAAGAAGAAAAAACATTGTCTATGTTCCAAGTTATTTTCTATGCTCTAATATCCTCAACAACAAAAAAATGACGCTAAAAAACAATGAGATGAATGATGGTGAAGACCATCGATAAAAAGGGAGCTAAAATCCAGCTTAGTACTGCACTTGAAGTAGGCTATGTAGGACATAAGAAGACTACTCACATAGTAATTATTTTGGAATTAGACATAGCAGTGAGTAGTGATATATCATTGCTAATAATTCACTACAAAACCATTATAGTACACATTCCTTATTCTATCAGTGGATGTGAATATAAATGAGACTACGAAGATTGAATGGGCTCGGACCTTTGATGGATGATGTTAGAGAAATTACCGGGAGAAATTCAAAAAAAGCCTTATTACAAGTGGTCGTTCAAAAATAGCCCAGTTTCAAAAGTAATCGAAATCTAGCCACTTTTCATGTAAAGATAAATCTGAGCGAAAACACTGTTCAAAACCCAAAAAATACGCCAGTATATTATGCTGGAGTTCCAGCATAAGTATACTTGAACTCCAGCATATTATACTGGAGTTCCAGGATAAGTATGCTGGAACTCCAGCATAATATGATGGAGTTCCAGCATAAGTACACTAGAAATCCAGCATAATATACTGGAGTTCCAGCAAAGTATACCGGTCCAGTATAATATGCTGGAAGTTCATACACAAATGCTCGAATCTCCAGTATATTATGCTGGAACTTTCCGTGTGTTGGAGTTCCAGCATAATATGCAGGAAGTTCATATACAGGTGCACCGAACTCCAGTATATTATGCTGGACCGGTCTCTGTTGCAGCAAAATAGTGGCTATTTTTCATTGACTTGGTAAACGCTGACTATTTTTGAATGACCAGTCCGAAAACTGGCTAGACCGTGCTATTTTTACGAAATTACCATCTATGCCCGCCCATAAGCAAATTAGTACGAAAATTGGCTAGTTCATAAAATATTACTAATATTAGCCAACTGCTACCTATATTAGCCAATTAGCTATTTGTAGCACAAAAAAAAAGGTCAAATTTTGCTTTCTTTTGAGTGAGTGTTGTTGGAATAGATTGGGTACATCCTAAGGAGTTTGAGTCTCAGATTTGGGATTATTTGGTGGGGTTTTGAGGTAGTTTGAATTGAAAATTCGAAGTAGATGATGAACATGGAAAAAGATGATATGTGACACTATATATCATTTGTGTATTGCATATATAGCATATGTGTATCAATTGTATATCACATGTATATTCATGTATAACTGCGTGTGAGATACATGCGTGACACATGTTTGATACATGTGGCGCATAAGAATTTTTTAAACTCGATTTTAACTATAAATTTTTATACCAAACCTAGTCCAAATCACCTCCAATCTTGCTCAAGTTTCGTAGATTGTCTCATTTATATGTTTTCACTGAATTCCAGCCATATCCATTGTAAAAAATTATGTTTGCCTAATTTTTTTAATATTGTATATCATTGGTATTTTCACTCTAAACTAGTCTAATTCACCTTCAAAATTCGTTAAATATTGTACATTGCCTCGTCTGTGTTTTCAACCAATTGCAACAATATCCATTGAAAAAAAAGATCTTTTTTGTCCATGTTTTTTGAATTTTGTATATCATTGGCAATGGTTTTTGGCTATTTTTGGTAGTACGACTAAAATGGTTAGTTGTTGGTAAATAGTATCTTTTTTGGTACATTCCCGTAAGATTCCCATTTCGAAACCTTATTACCAAGTACCTTTGATTATCTGACACTCATTCGGGCTACCCTATTGAGGTCCATCTATGAACTATCCAAATAATGCAAGAGCTTGAGCTAATATTGTGTGATCAGAAATGTTCAATTTTCTCTTAGAAAGCACATTTACAAGAGAGAGAAAAATGTCGAAACCTTTTAAACTTGATCTTTTAACATATCAAAGGATTAAGGCTAACAGGACTCCCCATGAGAATCCTTGTCACCAACAGGAATAAGAGTATCAAAACTATCAGGAACTAGAAAGATAATCTATAGTCCCAACCCTCAAAGAAATGGCTCTTTTTGGGAATTATTCTCGCATAATAGATGCTACAAACAACCATGAGGAACTAAAAATAGAGCTTTTTTTCCATTTTAATCCTTAGATAGAGCAAGAAGAAGAGAAGTGATCAATGGTGAAACAAAGAAAAAAGAGTAACTCTTTAGTTCATTCTAGTTGGTAAACTGCAATGAAAGGCATCAATACACTCCCCATCCAAAGCTTCCCATCTCTCTCCTCAACCTCACTTACAGCTCTAACAACTTTCCCTTCTCCATCTTCCAATATCTGTAGCAGCTTACCGTCAGGGCTATACTTCACAACAATCGCATGTAGCCGGCCTCCAAGTTGCAAGAGGGCACGGAGCTTTACTGGGATAGGAAGCTTCAGCAAGAATAGACGAAGTCTCGGGTATATGGAATTTATATAGCTGTAAATGGTGCGGCGACAGTGGATTGCTACCCAAAATTCACCTCTTTCATTTGCTCGGATATTGTCAGGATATCCTGGGAGGATTGCCATCACTTCTGAGGTCCCCGCCTTCTCGCCTTTCAGCCAGTACTTCTGTAACCTATGAAAGAACACATAATAATTCACGGTCTCATTCCTCCTACTCCTAGAAAACTAATTGCACAGCATGTTAATAAGGTAAATTTAGCGACAAGATACTTTAAGAAAGGCAATAAAGATAGGGCTTCAATATTTCAGAATTCGGATCTCAGAAGCATATAAAATCAAAGTAAGTGTGTTCTTGAACACATGTATTACAAAGTTGGATAGATATATATTATATATATTGTCTGTATAAATATGCATACATGAATTTCGCATGCTTAAACATAGACATTTGAGGCTCACAAAACTTTTTCTAGAACAGACAACATTGATTTGGTTTTTGTTGCAGCAACAACAACAACAACATACCAAGTACAATCCCACAGGTGGGATCTGGGGAGGCTGCGATGGTTTGGGCATGTGTGGAGGAGAGACATAGATGCCCCAGTCAGGAGGTGTGAGAGGTTGAACATGGCAGGCTTGAGGAAAGGCAGGGGTAGAGATGCCCCGAGGAGGGTAGTGAGTACGCAGACCTTACCCCTACCTGGAGAGGCTGTTTCCAGTAGACCCTCGGCTCAAGAAAAGATGGCAAGGAAGAAAAGGCATGGAGTAGAACAAAAGAGTCGAGCCAGAAAGAGAAATTTGAACACAGAAGCTTCTACTACTTAAATCCACAAGGATGCTCTTAAATTTTTCATGTCTTACTTTACATCAGATGTGTGTGTATGAAAATGCATGCAGTGTGCTTCAGTAATTTTGTCTTTTTGTCTTTTTACATATAGCTTATTATCTGGCAAATATATGTCTAGGAGATGTCATTTGAAAAGAAAACAAAAGCTGCAACTACAGAACAGGAAAGAGAATCCTCAGTAGCTTCTCCGATAGATCTTGAAGATTCACAAAATCCTTGACAAATCAGAAATGTACCTGCCCTTGGCACCTTCGCAGAATACAAAGAAGGAACCATCCTTGCTTAGTGACAGACCATTTGGGAATTGGAGATTTCGAAGAAGAACAGTGGTTTGTTTAGTACTAGGATCGTACTTCAGAACCCTCCCACTATCTTCTGCTGAGTAAACCAATAGCATAAAGTTCCTGAGAAAGATGGGGTGGGTATTAATATTCTAATCAAAGAAGTAACACACATGACAATTGTACCGTGTTGTAATAACACCTGAAGGAAATACCTGTAAATGGCAATGAAAGTTTTACCAAACCAGGCAAACATCTTCATTATATGCTAGCAGAGTTGGTTATTCATCAAAAAGAAGAAATGTTAGCAAAGTTAGGTGCAATCTAGCAACCACATTCAAATCTAAGCTTCTCAATGATCATCTATTATCTTTCACGTCGCCACAGCATCAGCTTTCATTTTTCTGTCCTAGATGCAAACTGCAATGTTCTTAAAAGAAACCATTTTTCTCCCACTAAGATAGAGAGCCCTGTGTCTTCCATTTGGCATTAATCAGAACTAATATTGGAATGGAATTCTCCATTCTGATATTGTGTTGTGACAACACTGTTGTCAACTTCAAGTTCACCATGTGAAACATTAGGCGTTTAAATTTCTGAATATCCCTATGCATTTATGACAAAGTCTCATTCTTAAGTTGGGATCTAGGTTAACTATATATAGAGATCTACATTAAAAAAATGAAGAAAGAATAAATTCACAACCTACCTTCTTTGATACTTGGTGCTGCTATCTGTAAAATAGACGTTTCCTTCATTATCAATGTCAAGGTCATTTGCGAATCCCAGAGGCACTCCTTCAGCCTCACTTGTCAATGTTTCTGCTATTCCACCTTCAGGCCCTACTTTCATCAACCCAAAATATGCATCTGCAATATACAATTCACCTGTTGTTTTATCAAACCGTAACCCCAAAGGCCTACCACAGATGTGCTCATTTGTTAAATAGAGCAGTGGTGATGGTTTGGGGTCACAATTGCCAGACCTGAGAATTCAGATCACAGAATGCATTAGAGCGTCAGAAAGTAAAGCTGAAATCTAAATCATCTTTAAAAGAAGAAAAAAATTAAGCAATTTGGAAATATTATCGGATGACATATGTGACACAATTAAAGAAAATTTCATAAAGAGAGAAAGAAGCAATAACATCTAAAAGTTTGATATCATCAGATTAGCTCAGCAGACCTAACAACTTTTTTTTTTGGAGAAGGTAACAGTAGCTAGAAGGACCTAACAATTTAGCATTTTAGACCTGGAATTAACAGCAACATATCCAGTGCATCCCCACAATGTGGGGCCTGGGGAGGGTAATAAATAAGTCCTAGAATTTCAATCAGATAATTACAAGTTCAGAATATACTAGGATCATAACACTTAAATTAAAACCACAGCGCAAAGGAAAACAATATCCATTGACTGATACAGGTCAATTATCAAAATAGGAATGAAACTTTCCTGCTAGGTCCGGGACTAAAAATATTATTATCTTTGTGGAGCAGGAGCTTATGGCTCTTTACAGTTTACACTTTCTTACGTCATGCTAGATAGAATAAAAAACTGTGACATTTGTAGCTTTTCCTTAAAAATACACTCTTATTAGAATCTGTAGTTCATTTCCAAATTTGCTTTCATGCCAGCCTGAATTGATCAAAGCAAGATAGCTTTTGAAAATGGGATTGATTCCCATCTGATTCCAGTGCTTAAGAATGCTAGCATCATATAACTAAGACCTTGCTTTATGTTAACTTGGTTTGAGAATATTGATTAGTTAGAGGCTTGGGTTCCTGCAACTTGTGAAAAAGGCATGTTCATCAAGCCAAGTTATTATAGCTAGAATGGTAATTGTGCTGATAGACTCTGGAATGATAAGACCGCAAACTGCGGGTTCGCAGGACTTCTAGTTCTCATTGGTCATCGTTTTTAAATGTTCGGAGATAGTTAACAATCAAATTATATACTTTGTGGTTTACTATATCCAGACAAATCTGCAATCATCTGAAGACTAGCATATGGGTTGAGTATTATGAGAAATGCTAAGCAGAACTATATGAGGTGATTCTACAGATAGTCTGTCACTCTTTTATCTCCTGTTGATACCATTGTCTTAATCCATGGGTTTAAGATAAGCTCTTGGATGAAGTCATTTACATATTGACATTTCGACATCGAACTGACAGTAATCTGAAGATCCAAATAGTTCACTTAGAATGCCACAGTAGCAATTCACCTACTATTTTCCCTATGTATTTCCTAGATTTTTGTGAATGATTCAGTTAGTATGCTGTTTCAAGATTGTAATCCTTTGTCTTCCCAACATGTATCCCCGTCTATCATCTTGACAAACATCACGGTTCTTAAGACATGGTTAAACTCTCTGTTAGATCACCAAAAGGAAGAAAGAGAAGTTTAACTTCACATGTTTCCTCTGATAAACTTTTACCTTCCTCATTTCTGAAGGTACACTCTGCCTTTCTTCTCGTGTCAAATGCTCAAAACGTTTTGCTTCACATCTAAGTTTGCCTTTTAGAGGCTATTCAACAATTCAAACTTGATTTCTCTCAAGTCAGTTCGCACTGCAAGTACAGCCGCAGCATCTTCAAGAATACTCTCATCGTGTCCTTATTGCTTAAGCTTTGTGGCATCGTATAGCAATCTTGTTCGAACAAAAGGTTTGCAGGACTAAGAAATTCCCACTTTCTTGGATTTTTACTTAGCAAAAGGGACAATACCTTAGGGGAGAAACAGTTGCTTTGTTGTGTGATCCCTTAAGTAATAACCTTCGGTAATAATATTTAACTTGGATAGATGAGCAAACTTTATGTGGACCATCAAAGTTGGAGCTGCTACCCACAAAAAAAGAGTTCTTGCTGTACTTGTTAAAGACATATTTTCTCCGAATATAGGACCTTTTACTGTGCACTTTAGTTAAAACATTTTCAGTCCCCCTAGGGCAAAAAGGAATGTTTCGGGATAATTACATGAGAAACTCTGCAACTTCAAGATGCAAGAAGCATAAACATAATAACTTTGTTGATTCTGTTAACTCCACCTTTAGTAACAACTTAACTGGCAGCTGGATATTATACAGAGTCATCCACAATCATCACAGTATATAACTGTTCTTTCTAAATACAGAAATCAAAAACCCTATCTTGCAAGACCAACCACCACCATCCCCAAACATTTACAGGAGTATCTTTTGTGAAGATTTCTTCCATATTCACCCTCATAGCTAACCCTGGACGCAATATCGTTTGCAAATAAAAACTTCACTATAAAATACACCATGCTCTCTCAGTTTACAAACCGAAGTTTTATTTCATTAATTGTTGTCATTGAGTATCACAAGCTCACATCACAAGCGAATCTTCATACCATGACTTGACTCGAAAAACAACAAAATTTCCAACTTAAATGGATCAAAATTGTTAAATCAAAAGACACTCAATCCAAACCTACATTAGTTTTTTCTGCTTTTCTCCTGCTGAAAAGCACCTCAGAGGTCAAAACTACATATAAGACAAAGCTATATTGCATAATGAAAATAATAACTATTAACTCGAAGAAGAAGTAAATAAAAAATTGACCTGAAGTCTTGTAGGTGTGCTGCCAATTAATTCTCCACAAACCTAGCAAACTCATCAGAAAACAATCTCAATCATATAACACAAGACCATTTTCAATCTAGTCCCTTAAAAAAGAACAACCTAATTGCTGGATATAGGTGGATATGCCAATGCACCTTGAGCTTCAGGGCCTTACTTTGGTTGGAGCGAATATGCTCAAATGGACTAATCTTTTTCTCTAACCACGTACTCCAAAACCATATTACAGGATAAGCATACATTACATTTAAGAGCGAACTTATAAATTAAGAGCAAAATGCAGCATTTAACCGATTCAGTCTGCTTTCACTACGGGCACAGTCAGTGCCGGAGCCACCTTAGGCTAACCTTCGATGGAAAATACATTGTGTAGCTAAGTCAAGAAATTATTTTTATGTATATATACTATATGTTGAATCCCCTTATTTCTTCGAGTGTTCATTTCATTATATCTTAGTGAAATTTATGGCTACACAACAAAAAAGAATATCATCGTAATAAGGTGTGAATCATGCTCAAAAACTACAAAACCAAGTGCCAAGCAACCATAACAAAGTGATAAGGAGTGAATGAAAAGGATAGCTGAATGAGAAAAGGGCATTGCAAACACCCACAACCTGAGTCAAGAAGCTAAAGTTTTAAATTCCTTAAGCTCAATATTTCATCAGGAAAGCTGATGCCCTTGTAGATCAGTCAACATTTCTTTAGTTTTTCCATAGACAAGTTCGTCCAGTAAGCCTTACACTTAAAGCTAACTATAGATGTTAGTTAAGAAACAGCATTTGCATGTTGAAGCGTCATAAATTAGCACGTTTCTTCAGGATCAAGAAAATGGTCATTAGAAAAACAAAGGCCTAATCACAAATCACAACAACAGAAAGAAAAACTACTGACCTATTAGCAGAAGTATAGGCAAAATCAGTCCATTTCTGTCCATCCCACAACACAATTCTCCCATCAGCTATACCTGTGTAGGGTCCACGACCTTTCGGGTCAAATGCGATACTTTCCGGGCCCTGAATTTGGTTCAAAAACTTTATTTCTGATTTCTGAAGCAAGTTTAGGGTGTCCTTTTCTACTGGTATTTCAGACCATGCTGGCGCTTCAACTTTGTAAGCCTTAAAGTCTTTGGATTCAGAAATTGCACTCTGCTTTAATGGGTCAAGCCCACAGTACAGTGCCACCAGAAGAAATACTCCGGCAAATACTATCGCCGGCCTCATTTGTGTCTATAATTTTGGACTGAAAATTTGTGTCTATGAATTATTGAGTAATGGTGTGTAAAGTTTGCTACCAAACAACTTTCGGGGATTCTTGAATCTTCTAAGGGTTTTTTCATGAGAAGGAAATGCTATTAGCAGTAGTAGCTAAGCAGAGTAACTGCTCCCCTACTGCCACTCACCCAGAAATGGAGTACAAAGTCCCCACGCTTCCATGCATGTGACCTTTTATGTATATTTTGTATGATTAAAAAATAAAAATAAAAATAATTTTTTTTTTTAAAACACCAGATTCGTTACTTTATTCACGATAACAAAAGAACAAAATTAATTTTTATCACCTTAAATAGATATATTGAAATAATAAAGTCATGTGATTATTGTTGACTAAAATTTATACAATTAAAGAAGCCTTGGAGCAAAGGTCAAGTTGTCTCCATATGATGTATAGGCCAGTCGTGGAATCAGTGTCACGACCCGAATTTCCCACCATCGGGACCGTGATGGCGCCTAACATCGCACTCGCTAGGCAAGCCAACGTTAGAATTATAATCACCTGTTTCCTTTATATTTTCATAATTAAGATTAACAAAAGCTGATCCAACAGAAATAAAAGCGGAAGTACATATTTAACTAATTAACCTTATACTATCAACCAATCCGAAACAGTTGCCACCCAAAAACTGGAGTCACAACTCATGAACTTTCTACAAATTACTACAAATACTGGTCTGAAAGAAAAGAATACATTTGTCTCGAAAGTAAGTAAAACAGAGATATAGAATGTAGGAGGGGACGCTAGGGCCTGCGGACGCCTGCATGACTACCTTGTGTCTCCTGACTGAAGTATCAGCAACCGACCTCTCGATCAGCCACTACCAGCTCCGAAATCTGCACAGAAAGTGTAGAGTGCAGTATCAGTACAACCGACCCCATGTACTGGTAAGTGCCGAGCCTAACCTCGACGAGGCTACGGTGGGGCATAAACAGTATATCCTGCGGTAGTTTACAATAAGGCAAAAAGAAGATACGGGATAAAAAAGGACAGTAACTTGCATTAAATAAATACGGAACCCAGTCGTTCTACTAATACTCAGCTATAACCAATTCTTAAGAGAGTTTTAACACCACAATAATGAATCTCAGCAGAAGAAGAATACATAAGCAACAAGTGATGCGCGGCGCATCCCGATCCCACCATATAATCAATAACAATATGAACATTCACCCTTATTACTCCTTGTTGCGGCATGCAACCCGATCCCACCAGTCCACCCTTATTACTCCTCAATATATCACCCTTATTACTCCTGTTGCGGCGTGTAACCCAATCCCACATGTCCACCCTTATTACTCCTTGTTGCGGCGCGCAACCCGATCCCACCAGACAATCACATTTCACCCTTATTCCTCCTATTGCGGCGTGCAACCCAATCCCACAATATCAATACCAATCACAAAATAAGAACAAGTATTTCACAAGTTAACTCAAATCCTCCACAACATTTATACCTCAAACCAAAACAACGGAAGATCACTACAATTATGAAACTTCACCAGTTAATACTACACAGCGAGACCAAACAAAGTGTACCATGAATCACCAATAGCCAACTTAAACCAACAGTATAATACAATGAAACTGCAGAACAATTAATAACGTCAATAGAGAAAATAACATTTAACAAGAAGCAATTAGACATGGAAGCATCAATAAGCAGGTAGCAATTAGGACAGGAAAGCAATATATTAGGAAACGGGGAAGGGAACAGGCTAAACAGGTAATTTGGCGGCGCATAGGTACTCGTCACCACAACTATACGCCACACACATGGAAATTCACATAGAAATTAAGTCGGGGATCCCTAATCCCTCGAGTCAAGGTTAGACCAAACACTTACCTCAAGCCAACGGGTATTTCAAAGCTCAATTAGCGCTTTATCTCTCGATTTCACCACCAATCCACTCGTATCTAGTCATAATTAACTTAATAACATCAATTAACGCTAAAGAAATCAATTCCAATGTATAACTATAGATTCCCCAATATTTTTTCCAAAAAGTCAAAAATTGACCCCGGGCTCGCTTGGCCAAAACCCGAAATTCGGACTAAAACCCGATTACCCATCCACCCCCGAGCCCAGATATAGAATTGGTTTTGGAATCCGACCTTAATTTGAGGTCTAAATCCCCAAATTTCGAATTTCCTAAGTTCTACCCAAAAACACCTAAGTCCACCATGAAAAACCCTAGATTCTAGGATTGAAATTTTGTAAAAAGATGAAATAGATTGAAAGAAATGAGTTAAGAATCATTTACCTATGATTTGGGGATAAACTTGCCCTAGGAAAATCGCCTCTTGAAGTTTAGGTTTTGAAAAATGGGAGAATGAATGAAAAATCCCGTCTAAGACCCTTTTACTCAGTTGCAGATGTCGCAATTGCGACCTGAGCTTCGCAAATGCGAAGCCCTTCACAGTCCTGTTGCCTTCGCAAATGCGAAGAAAGTGTCGCATTTGCGAACACTGTTCCTCGCAAATGCGAGTAGAAGATCGCATTTGCGATCATACCCCTTCCCAGACTCCATTCGCAATTGCGAAGATTTGTTCGCATTTGCGAACTCTGCTGGCCCAGTCTTTCTTCGCAATTACGATAAATACCTTGCAATTGCCATGCCTGCTTGGTTCGCATTTGCAAAGCCTGATCTCGCGATTGCGAGATAAGAGGCCTGCTACAGACACCAGTTACACTAGCAAATTTCTAAGTTCCAAAATCACTCCGTAGTCTATCCAAAACTCACCCGAGCCCTCGAGGCACCAAACCAAATATGCACACAAGTCTTAAAACATCATACGAACTTGTTCATGCGATCAAATCGCCAAAATAACACCTAGAACTATGAATTTAGCACCAAATTGCATGAAATTTTCAAGATAGTTTCAAACTTCTATTTTCTCAACCAAAGGTCCGAATCACGACAAATCAATTCCGTTTTTCACCAAATTTCACAGATAAGGTTTAAATATCATAATGGACCTGTACCGGGCTCTGTAACCAAAATACGGGCCCGATACCAACTAATAAGTAGGATTTTAACGTGTTTTATGCCCCTACTTGCCTATGCTTTGAGTATAATTTGATACAAAATAATCCCAAAATGCTCACAGGTTGTGCTTGATTGCAGGTTTGACCAACAAAGTGACTGAAATGTCAAAGATCTACTCAAAACGGAGTAAAACCTGCTCAAGCATCAAAGGCCAAGTAAAGTGATGGAAAAAGAGCCTAGTGCGGACCGCACAAAAGTGCACGCGGCCGCACTAGGAGATTCAGAGAAGTGCAAATTCAGGACTTTCACCACGCGGCCGCGGTTGGATTTACGCGGCCCGCGTTCAGCTCACGCGGCCGCGCCACCTAATCATGCGGCCCGCACTGGAGAGATTCAGAGAGATGCAAGTTGGGACCAGTACAAGCCACGCGGCCGCGCCCCTAATTGTGCGGTCCGCGCCAGACATCCTGCGGTCGCGCTACACTTTTGCGCGACCCACTGTCCTTAACTTCAGAGAGTCAAAATTCAAGAGTTCAAGAACCCGCACGGCCGCGCTACCTTTTTGCGCGCTGTCCCCGCAGGGGTATTTTTGTCCAAGTTTTCCAGCCATTATAAATAGATCTTTTTCCCATTTTTAGGTTAAGTTTTGTACCAGATATCGAGATGCGCTCGTGAGAACTGAAGTTTTAGCCTATTTTGGCATTTTAGCATTACTTTCTCAATAGATTCTTGTCGTTTCTTATCAGTAATTAATTATTATGTTTAGCTCTTCTTCTAATTCTTTTGTTTCTTCTTTAATTATGTCTAGCTAAACCCATTAGCTAGGGTTGTGGCTCAACCCTAGTATGGGTAATTGATGGGTGTTGCCATCTAAGGATAGATTGATGTTGGGTGTTTGCTATTTGGGTTAATTTTAGGTTTTAATTAAGGATTGGTGGTTGCAAACACTGATTCTAGCTTGGTGGGTTTAACTTTTCTTGAGGAAGAGAGTCTATGACCCCAAAATTGACCCAATAAGGAATTGGGATGGACCCATGAGAAGTGGTAGTCCCTATTAACGGGTTAAACCTCGAGAGAGTAATTATCCTACTTGAACCCTAGTTGCTTGGTCTAATTAGCCTACCCAATTGGTCTCGAGAGAGTCAATTGGGCATAATCACTCTCTTTACTGATAGGTGTGAGAGTGGGTACAATTGAGCAACGGTTATAGCATAAGCCCCAAATATGTCAATTTACCCTTAGTAGTATTTACCCGTTAATTAGCCACCTAGGCAATGCCACAACCCTAGTGCCTTTCTCTATATTAATTACAACTTAGCAATATCTCCGTAGCATAATTTAGCTTCAAACATTAGTCTTATAATAGTAGATATAAGAATCAAAACCAAGGATGTTAGAAGTGACATTAGAAGCACAACTGCAATTCTAGACTAAACAGACAATACAACTCCATTACTAGCTCCCTTTGGAAATTCGATCCCGAACCACTATTCGGGTAAAAGCTGTTGCAACCCGCTCTTCCTACCTTAGTATAGTGTTGAGTCGGCAGCGATCAACTTTTTGGCGCCGTTGCCGGGGAGCTTACGGTGTTGACTATCTGTTTAGCTCGTTTTGTGTTTTGCTTCTCTTTCCTTCTTGTTTACTAATTTTGTTTGTGTCGATCATTCAGGTACTATGGCTCTTAATGCAAACGACCCTCTTGGCAACGTGAATGCGGGGGAGGAGGTAGATGATTTTGAGCCCGAAGAGGTTCAACCACCTCAAGTTCCACGTAGAGGCCGTCAGGCCAATGCAAATGACAACAATCCTATTCCAGACCCTCCCCCGCCACCGCCAAGAGCAGTCCCAAGAGTTCTACCAAATCAAGGGTAAGCAAGTGTCATTGTTCCTCCCCGAATCCGGGCGGGGAACTTTCAAATCACAAATGTCATGTTGACCTTGCTCGAGCAAAGAGGGTATTTTACGGGCGCCTCCGATCAAAATGCATACAAGCACTTGAAGGGATTCGTAGATACATGTTGGGGCAGCAAACAAACAAACGTGTTAGAGGATGCGTTGCGATTGAGGCTTTTCCCGTTTTCTCTTAGGGGTAAAGCATTGGACTGGTTAGAAAGGCTTCCAAATCATTCTATTAACACATGGGATGAATTGGC